ACATTATTAAATTTTACTATATTAGTGTACTATATTTTCTTTATGTATTAAATTGATTATTATTATTTTTACTATATTACTATATTAGTATAATTAATTTTCACTATTATACCCTTATATCAATTATTATGGAAAATCAATTACTTCTTTTTTTATAAATATGCAAATCCCTCTAATTTCTCTCCATCTCAGGTCAATATCTGTTTTTTCTTTTTTCTTTTTGTTTGTTAAATTGTTTTCTTTATTTCGATTAAAACATAAATCGATTATTTTATAATTTTATAATTTTGTTTTTATTTTTATTTTAAATTATATTGTTCTTATTTTTATTTTTAATATTTTTCATTTTGATTTAAAAAAATAGTCTTATGTTTATTTTTCGTTTTTAATGGTTCTTTTTTCTCTTAATTTCGATTTTTTTTTTAAAATTTATTTTTTATTTGTTTGTCTAGTTTTTTTGAATAAAAAAATGTTTTGTTTAATTCTTTTTTGTCAAAGTGGAATCCACTATACATAGATTTCGAATAATTTGTAGTGAATTTCGATAAATTTATAGTGGATTTCGATAAATTCATAGTGGATTTCAACAAATTTATAGTGGATTTCGATAAGTTTATAGTGGATTTCAATAAATTTATAGTGGATTTCGATAAGTTTATAGTGGATTTCGACAAGTTCGTAGTGAGTTTCGATAAATTTATTGTGGTTTTCAACTAATTTATAGTGGATTTTGACTCATTCGTAGTGAGTTTTGATAAATTTGTAGCGGTTTTCAAGAAAATTATAGCAGATTTCGATAAGTGTATAGTAGATTCCAATTTGATAAACCTGCTGGATTTTTTTTTTAATATTAAAAAAACAATTAATGGAAGTAAAAAAAAAATATTAAAAAATAATTAAAAATAACATTTTTTTATTAAAAAGAACTAGGGAAAAAAAATCAGAAAAACCATGTAAAAACATCGAAAAAAAAACCATTTAAAAAAAATCAAAATGAAATACATGAAAAATATAAATAAGAAAAAAAAAACGAAATAAAAGAGATTTTTTTTGTTAAAGTTAAATGAGGAGATTTAAGGATGAACTCATTATAGATTTGAAGTTCAATAAAAAACAAGTGACTATATATACATTCATCTTTTTTTACTAGACAATCTTTGAAGTTGGAATATTTTAGTAATTATTAATTTATAGTTTCGTTTTGAACCAATATATATACACTGTGATTTCAAAAAAAAAAAAGTATCTTATTATACGGTTGACCGGGGTCCAATTTTGTATTGGTCCCAAGTTGGGACTAGACAAATTATTAATTTATCGAGTAATAATTTTGTAGAAGTTTTACTGTATATGAAGCTTTCATTTAATTTATGTTGTTTTCCTTTGCGGTGGAAGTGCAAAGAACAAGAGGAAACACCACATACAAAATTGCAACGACAAATCAAAAAGAGCGTTGGTAGAACCGAGCTAAAGATGCATGGAGACACACAAAAAAACCAACAGTATGGCTCTGATACCATGATATAGTACTTCTATTAATATTCTGATTAATTTGATTTGCATATTATTCTCTCATAGAGGCAGCCTATTTATAATATAGGATATAAGTCTAGTTACAATCTAATTAAAACTTCTACTCTAAATATCACTCAATAATAACAAAATTATAAACATCACCATATGTATTAAAAAAAAGGATTATTAGGGAAAACCCCCTCATATGCATTGTCTCATTAAACTAAATCCTTTTTTTTCTCCCTTTTTGAGATAACTCCAATTGCATTTTATTTAGTAAATTATATTATTAATAACCTATTTTACCCTTTTTCAAGCTTTTAACCTAATTAAATCCTCCTAAGCCGTAGCGTCTCTCTTTTCTCCTCCATCCCTCTTTTATCCACAACCCACTCCCACATCCACACCAACATCCACACCCACACCTTCGCAACCCTACCGGACGACCACACCCACATCGTACCCTCGCGGCCCCACCGGACGACCACATCGGAGACCACACCCTCGTCGACCTCCTCATCCTCGGGTATGAGGATCTGTGCTCTTTTATATTTTACATTATATTTTATATATATGAAAGAGTTTCTTATGACCGATATTGAATTCTTGTTGCTATGTAGGAATTCTATTGTATGAGATGCTTTATGGATATACACCATTCAGGGGGGAAATGAGGCAGAAGACCTTTGCAAACATTCTTCACAAGGATTTAAAGTTTCCAAGAAGTACAGAGGTGTGCTTTTTTATAGCTATTTTAGATTTTTTATTTTTATTTTTATTCAGCAAGAATAATTTGATTGTGAATCGGAGATTATGAAATAGTAGCAATTTAACGGAGTTTTAATAAACTATGTTTGGGTACATTTTAATAAACTATGGTTGGGTATAGGTTAGTCTCCAAGGGAAGCAGTTAATGCATCGATTGCTACACAGAGATCCCAAAAACAGACTAGGATCACGACAAGGTGCTAACGAAGTTAAGCAGCATCCCTTCTTCCGTGGTATCAATTGGGCTCTTGTTCGTTGCATGGTAATTAATCAATCGTACGCACTATATTCTTATTATATATCATTGTAATTTTACTTCAGCGCAATTAAGGAACTAATTTGTTTATTAAACATCTTCAGAGCCCTCCCGCGATCGACGCTCCCATTCCCGAGGAGAAAGAAACGAGTGTAGATCCTGGACTAGATGATTTGCAAACGCTCCCATTATCGATTTTGGGGTTCTGGGCAGTGTGGTGAGGGAGATGTTGATTCTCTCGGCTATTTTCCAATTTTCTCGACTTGCATCATCATTTTTTTATAGTGGTTTTCAATAATTATGTACAGATTTTTATAGTGGTTTTCAATATTTTTACATAAACCACTATAAAAATCTGTATAAATAATTATAGTGGTTTTCAATAATTTTTGTACAAATTTTTATATAACTGTATATACCGAGTGATTTTTATGTTGACATAGTTATTATACAGAGTGGTTTTCGAGTTTACATAGTTGTTATACATAGCGGTTTTCATGTTATATAATTACTATACATAGTGGTTTTCATGTTATATAATTGTTATACATAGTGGTTTTCATGTTTATATAGATGTTTATATATAGTGGTTTTTATGTTTATATAGGGTGTTTTTTTATTTAAAAAAACTGGAAATAAAAAAAAAATTATTTTCAAAAGAATTCGAAATTAAGAAAAAAAAACCATGAAAAAAAACATAAATAAAACCCTTTTTTTAAGCTAAAATAAAAAACATGAAAAATATAAATAAGAAAAAAAATTTAAAATAAGAAAAATAAAAAAAATAATATAATTACAAAATTTTATTTTAAATTGAAATAAAGAAAATCATTAAACAAAATAAAAAAGAAAAAGGAAAAAAAAACTGAATTAACGTGATGAGGGGAATAATTTTAGGAGAAGATTAGGGTGTAGATTATGGGTATAATTTTTTTAAAATTAAATAGTTATATTAATTAATAATTAGTGGGGGCATATATGGTTTTTCAAGCCCATTGGATTTATCTCAAATATCATTTATAAATAAAGGATTTATCAAGAATTGAAATCCCAATGAAGGGTGTTTGACATATAACCCCTAAAAAAAAAAGGAGCGGCTAAAAGCCTAAAACAAATATCACATCTTTCTAACTTCAATACCAAAAAGAAAATAATAATAAATAGGTAATAGCATTAGTAGACTTAATGAAAATCAATTACCACATAACTAAAAAGAAATACCATTTGCATTTTACCGCACTCACAAAATTATCACACCCCTCTCCTTTTTGCTTACAAACACCCTCGTTCTTTTTCACAAACCCTTCCAAAAATCTCAAAATCCAAATAACTCAAAAAACCTCACAAAACATACAAAATGGAGTCACAAGACAACAAAATGGTAATTTATATGGAATGATAACCCATTTAATTAAGTATCCATGTCTTTGTTGAACTTGGAAGTCAATTTTCATGGGTTTTTTTTTTCAAAAACCGTCGCCTTTTTGTACACGTACATATCGATTTTTATTGTGTTTTTTTGACATGTATGTTTCATAAACTTGACAAAAATCGACATGTTAGTGCTGAAATTTGAAAAAAGTTAATACACAAACATAAGATTTGAAAAAATAAATTAAATAATCTATTTTCGACAAGTTCGTGTCGAATTTTGAGGAAAATTCAACACTTGGCTGTCGATTGTTTTTGTTTCTAAAAATCGTCAGCAACTTAACAAAAATAAATTAAAATTCGACCTGAATGTGTCGAAATTTTGAGCAAATTTGACATGTTCATATCGAAAAACCAATGCGGAACCTCAAATCAAATTCAAGCAAAAAAACAACTAATTCAAGGCAAATCAACAACAATTAACCAACAGTCAATGCTTAATATCCATATTTAGCTAATAATCATCCTATATTACCTAATTTAACAAGCTTCGGAAGTCATTTGAAAGAATTAAAGAAACTTAAATTGGATCTTTGTTTGCTTGAAGTTTAGTCATGGTCTTCCAACCATGATGGTCGCAAGGATGACGGGGTTCCGTGGCCTACGGTTTTAGCGGAAGGTTTTTTTAAATTTTATTCTTTAAAAATTTAGTATTCAACAAATGAAATGAGGAGATTGATTTTTTTTTTTTTTTTTTTTTTGTATAATATGTATATTTCAACATTAATCTAAGAAAATGTTTGAAAAGGTTTTGGTTCTTGTTTTTGTGCTTACAAAATCTTCCTTCCAAATTACATGACTTCACCTTTTTTTTTTTTTTTTTCTCGACAAATTTGTATCCATATAGGAAACACATAATAGCTAATATAAATATCAAGAGATAAAAACTTATAAATTCATTTTGTGTAAATATAAACCAACTTTCAAGCGTATAAATTAATAATAATATATGTAATGTACTTGTACAATGATTAGTAAGCAAGCACAGGGAAATATCAAAACTGATCAAGAGACCAACGAAAACCCAAAATGAAGTAACAAAACGACATAATTATTTATATAATCAATCAACACAAATCATATATGAATCCATACATATAATTTATTCAACACAATGTAATTAATTAATTAATTAATTAATCCAACTAATTAACAGCATACAATATGATTTAATTTACATAAAAAGGGAGGCCACAACAAGAAGAAGAGCAGAGACGATGCCGCCGGATTTGATCAGAGAAGAAGGAGCGGCCGAGGGGAATTGTCTGATTTGGATGGTGACCTTTTGGCCGAGGCGGCAGTGGTTTTCGACCGTGCAAATGAAGTAATGAGGAGTGGTGGAGTTGAGTATGAATGTGAAAGGGCTAGTTGTTTGGACTGGACTTAAACTCAGGTTACTCGTTGCGTTGCAGTTTTCGTAACCCTCTTTAGTCACTTGGACTACATTGTGTGTTCCACTCCATCTGAATACTATCAATTTTTTCAATTTTCATAAAGAAACAGATGTTAGTAATTCATAATAATAATTGATGAGCAGAGTGTTGGTAGAATAAATAGTCATGCTAGTTTGATTAATATGTAATAATATGAGTTGGTTTGAAGGAAAAATTGAAATAAATAAGAGTTGATTTATATTCACTAGTAGAAAGATGATTTTTTTTACACGTAATTTTTCGCTACATTAAAAAGCCGTTACAAAAAAGCTACTTTTTACTATTGCAACAATTTCACAACTATTTGGGGGTCGTAGTAAATGTTAGGATTTACTGTAGGAAAATAGTATTTGCTACGGCAGTTTGCCTTAGTGAAGCTTTTGTCACGCGCCCATATTCGCTAATGAGAAAATATGTAGTAAAGTCGTAGCAAATTTTTTTTATTATGAATTTGGTATCGTACGGTACGAATTTGTGTTGTAGTAAAAAAACCATTTTTCTAGATCTATGCATTTTTCAACTACTAAAGCAATTCCGATACTAAGATATTCATGGGGGTTGAAAAAGCTTTTGAATAAGTAGAAGTTTGTGATTGGGAGTAAAACTAAACATATATATATATATATATATATATATATATATATATATATATATAGATAGAGAAACAGATTTAGATTTTAATTTATTTTGTGGGTGTGTGAAAAAAAAAAATATATATATATATATATAAAAAAAAAAAAAAAAATAAATGTGTGTGTGTATGTAAACACAGATATAGAGAGAGAGAGAGAAAGAGAGACACACACACACACTCCCAGAGTGTTTGCGAATGCGCCTTTATCCATATATGTATGGGTCTATGTATATATCTAAATTTCGCTCTCCCCCGTCCCGGAGAAAGAAAACACGAGAGAGAGGGGGAAAGGCACATATGCTGTCAC